TGGACTATTCTGTTAATTAATGTATGGACTGGTCTTTGACCAGTCTCTGAAATAGTCTATTATCAAGTCCATGGACTAGTAAATTGTCAAGTCGATGAATTAGTTCATATAACACTAGTCTTTGGACTAGTTAATAGGCTAGACTATAGACAAGTAAATAGACTAGCTTCTTATATCTTACTGATCACCAATATTCCATTCTGAAAGACACTCACACGATTAATCTTTTATTGATAATTCTCGTTACTAGTCTAAGGACTACTATCCAATGGAGTTAGTCTATTAATAAGTTTTTGGACTAGTCTAATTGAAAGTTTATGCTATAGTCTATAAACTAGTCTGTGGACTTGTCTAATGACAAGAATATAGTCCATACATAGCCTGTTGATTAGTCTATGGACTATAATCTATTGAAACTCTCTGGACTAGTCTATTAACAAGTCTTTGGACTAGACTTTTGACTAGTCTATGGACTAATCTGTTAATTAATGTATGGATTGGTCTTTTGACCAGTCTCTGAAATAGTCTATTATCAAGTCCATGGACTAGTAAATTGTGAAGTTTTCGAAAGTAATGAAATCATTAACAATATTTTTAAATCAGCCAGAGACATTAAGAATGATCATATGGATCGCAGCATCATGCACAAACATAAATTATTAGATTTTAATAACTAGCACCTTAATGTATTTATGTAATTTTTATTTACTTACAATTTACAAACTTTAACATGATCTACATTTTATTTGTTACTCCAGTTTAGACTAGTATGGAAATTTTTTTTTTCGGATAATACGTTTACAAAAGAAGTACTTGCACGAGTAATTAATATGTGAGACACGCATGTTGCTATTACTACTACTACTACTACTGGTTGATTGTAAATGAAAAACTCAGTCATTGAGTCATGTAAATTACATCATATGAGATTTTTTATTTGCAATTAACATGACATAAAACATAATAGTTATTGAGATCTTTTTGTAAATAAAATTTAAATAAAAAATGGCAAATTAAATGAAATGATTTGAAAAAATATTTAATATTAGAAATTATTGTTAGATACTTTTGTCTTATTGGTAGCTTTGCTTGCTTATTTCGAAAGTCTTATTTGGAATCTAAAGAATTTGAAAAATTTAAGTATAAAAATATGATGCCATGACTCATCCACCTACCTGCCACAAACTTGTTGCAAATAAGCAAATCTTGTTTGAATTTTTTTTTATATTTTTTTGGCAAAATAAAAACTGGTTAAACTTCATACTAAAATTTGTTGGAAAAAAAAGCCAAGAAGTTGTTAATTGAGTAGTAAAGTTTGACCACATAAAACGGGTATTCTTTTAAAGTAGCAGACAGGCAACATGTGGCAGCCTTAAACTCTACTGAACATAAAATATATTTAATGATAAATGGCTTAGACATTTGAAAAATTTGAAAATTATATTTATTTAACTAAATTGACAGTTCAAATCCTTCAAGGATTAATAAAAAATATAGTTTGATAAACGTAAATTGACTAAAGTTTCGCCCCTAATATTTTTTTGAAATAAACATTTTATATGCAAAATTCAGATATGACTTAATTTTTGGGCTTGGTTACTTAGATAATTTGTATATTGTATTTGTAATTAAAATTTAATATCACTTGTTTGCAAAATTTTATTCAAGAAATATTTATCAATTTAAAAGTTGTTTTTTTGTTTTTAAAAACAACAAAAATTCTTTTAATGAAAAACAAATTACAAACGTGCTTTTTTGTAAAATAAAAATATCTATTTTTTTTTAATATTTTATTTGCATTACCAACTTTAAAAAGGTTTTTTTCTTAAAAGACACGTTTAAATTGCAACTATTTGCAGATTGTGTTAAATTACATTGCCCTCAGTTGGTCGTTGGATTATGAAATAAAACAAAAAATGCATTCATAAATTAAATTTCAATTGAATTGATTAATTTGTATATATATATTTTTTAAATTCATTGATGAAAAGATTATAATTCATGAAAAAGAGTATTTTTCTAAAATTTTCTATAAAAAAGATAATTTTATCGAAAATTTTCAAACTTTTCTATAAGAAAGAGAATTTCCTCAAAAATTTTCTATAAAAAAGAGAATTTTTTTCCAAAGTTTTCTATAAAAACAGAATTTTCTCGAAAAATGGCTTTAAGAAAGTATTTTTTCAAAAATTTTCTATAAAAAAGAAAATTTTTAATGAAATTTTTCTATCAAAAGAATTTCTATCGAAAATTTTCTATAAAAAGACTATTTTTATATAAAAACTGAAATTTCTCTAAAAATTTCTGTAAAAAAGAGAGTTTTCGATAAAAAAAGAGAATTTTTTCGAAAATATTCTAAAATAAGTGAATTTTTTTTCGAAAAATTTCTGTAAAAAAGAGAATTTTTATCGAAATTTTTGATAAAAAGAGAATTTTTATCGAAATTTTCTATAAAAAGAGAATTTCTATCGAAAATTTTCTATAAACAGAGAATTTTTATCGAAAAATTTCTGTAAAAAGAGAATTTAAAAATTTTTTTTTTTCGAAAGTTTGATATAAAAACAGAATTTGTCGAAAAATTTCCAGTTAGTTAGTTAGTTAGTTAGTTAGTTAGGTAGGTAGTTAGTTAGTTAGTTAGTTAGTTAGTTAGTTAGTTAGTTAGTTAGTTAGTTAGTTTAGTTAGTTAGTTAGTTAGTTAGTAGTTAGTTAGTTAGTTAGTTAGTTAGTTAGTTAGTTAGTTAGTTAGTTAGTTAGTTAGTTAGTTAGTTAGTTAGTTAGTTAGTAGTTTGTTAGTTAGTTAGTTAGTTAGTAGTTAGTTAGTTAGTAGTTAGTTAGTTAGTTAGTTAGTTAGTAGTTAGTTAGTTAGTTAGTTAGTTAGTTAGTTAGTTAGTTAGTTAGTAGTTAGTTAGTAGTTAGTTAGTTAGTTAGTTAGTTAGTTAGTTAGTTAGTTAGTTAGTTAGTTAGTTAGTTAGTTAGTTAGTTAGTTAGTTAGTTAGTTAGTTAGTTAGTTAGTTAGTTAGTTAGTTAGTTAGTTAGTTAGTTAGTAGTTAGTTAGTAGTTAGTTAGTTAGTTAGTTAGTTAGTAGTTAGTTAGTTAGTTAGTTAGTTAGTTAGTTAGTTAGTTAGTTAGTTAGTTAGTTAGTTAGTTAGTTAGTTAGTTAGTTAGTTAGTTAGTTAGTTAGTTAGTTAGTTAGTTAGTTAGTTAGTTAGTTAGTTAGTTAGTTAGTTAGTTAGTTAGTTAGTTAGTTAGTTAGTTAGTTAGTTAGTTAGTTAGTTAGTTAGTTAGTTAGTTAGTAGTTAGTTAGTTAGTTAGTTAGTTAGTTAGTTAGTTAGTTAGTTAGTTAGTTAGTTAGTTAGTTAGTTAGTTAGTTAGTTAGTTAGTTAGTTAGTTAGTTAGTTAGTTAGTTAGTTAGTTAGTTAGTTAGTTAGTTAGTTAGTTAGTTAGTTAGTTAGTTAGTTAGTTAGTTAGTTAGTAGTTAGTTAGTTAGTTAGTTAGTTAGTTAGTTAGTTAGTTAGTTAGTTAGTTAGTGTTAGTTAGTGTTAGTGTTAGTTAGTTAGTAGTTAGTTAGTTAGTTAGTTAGTTAGTAGTTAGTAGTTAGTTAGTTAGTTAGTTAGTAGTAGTAGTTAGTTAGTTAGTTAGTTAGTTAGTTAGTAGTTAGTAGTTAGTTAGTTAGTTAGTTAGTTATAGTTAGTTAGTAGTTAGTTAGTTAGTTAGTTAGTTAGTTAGTTAGTTAGTTAGTTAGTTAGTTAGTAGTTAGTTAGTTAGTTAGTTAGTTAGTTAGTTAGTAGTTAGTTAGTTAGTTAGTTAGTTAGTAGTTAGTTAGTTAGTTAGTTAGTTAGTAGTTAGTTAGTAGTTAGTTAGTTAGTAGTTAGTTTTTTATTAAATTTTCAATAAAAACTTTTTCTATAAAAATAGAATTTTCTCAAAAATATTCTTTAAAAGAAAATATTTCTCGAAAATTTCTATAAAAGAATTTTCTCGAGAGTTTCCATAAAAAAGAGAATGTTCTAGAAAAATGTGTATAAAAATGAAAATTATCTCAAAATTTTCTATAAAAAAGGGAATTTTTTCGAAAATTTTCTATCAAAAAATAATTTTTCCAAAAATTTATATAAAAAAGAGAATTTTATCGAAAATTTTCTATAAATGAACATAAATGAATATTTTCTGTAAAAAAGATTGTTTCTCGAAAAATTTTTATAAAAAGGAGAGTTTTCTCGAAAAATTTCAATGAAAAGATAATATTTTCAAAAATTTTGTATAAAGAAGATAACTTTTTCGAAAAGTTTCTGTTTAAAAATAGAAGTTTTCTGTAAAAAAAGAAGTTTTCTGTAAAAAAAGGGAATTTTCTCGAAAATTTTGTATAAAAAGAGAATTTCAAGAAAATTTTCTATAATAAAGAGAATTTAAAAAAATGTTTCCATAAAGAGAGATTTAGATCTAATATGAACAAAAAAAAATAATAGGAATTATTTTCTAAAGAAAAGATTTTATCTAAAATTATTTATTCGAAAATAGGAACGAAAATTTTCTATAAAAATAAAATTTTATCAACATTTTTTACTGTATATATGTATGTATGTATAAAAATATCTAAAATATATAAAATTTTTTATCTTTATAGATCGCCCTAAAATCTGGCTATATCTGGTAAGTGCAATTTTAATTTAGTGTTTATTATATTCAAATGATTTAAACTTATATTTTATAAAAAATAAACTTACCTTTCAATTGATAAACCGGACTGCCAACGGGGGTATTTTCTGATAGACTAAACCGGGCCATATCACCAGAGCCGGGTACAAAATGTGGCGGTTGATTTAAATGTTGACATTTAACTAGACATGGCACGCACAGTATTGAGATTATAAGACAAATCAATGAATTCAGAAATGATTTAACCAAAAAGTGGTCAGACGACCACCACCAGTTTGTTTTAAACATTATGGAGAGACGTGGCCTTTTCCAAATTATTTTTATTAATTTTTCGTTTGTTTTTTATGTTTTTTTTTACCGTTTGATTTTTGGTTATTCGTTCTTCAAACTATATTTATCTTATAATTGTTAACGTATCGGTTTTAAATGATTAAAGTCACTTTACGGTTGTCTGACGCACGCACTCATTCATATACTTTTTGTTTAGCTTAATAACATTTTGCTGGCATCATGTTAAACAATTTTGTTATTGAATTTTTCGTCTAATTTTGGTAAAAACATTTACAAACGATTTATTGATGATGTTGTTTTTTGGGTTGGATTTTTTTTCTTCTTATTTTGGCTGTTGAAATTTGAAATTGAAAAAAAAAAATGAAGTAAATAAACTGGTATTTAGCACATTTATTTCGAGTTACACACATGTGAGTAGTGGTTGAAAGATCTTGAATTTTTTTTTATTTTTTAACAATAAAAGTAATGAGCTTTTTTATGAGAATTGGAGTAAATTGGGTTTACGACTGCGTTAGAGATATAAAACATTTTGAATTTGTGTCAATTTCTGATATTTATCGAAATTAGGTTTCTATAAAAAAGACAATTTTTTGAAAATTTTTTTGCAAAAAAAGAATTTTTTGAAAAAATTTCTATATAAAGAGAATTTTTTTTTTTTTTAATTTTCCATAAAAAAGAGAATTTTTCAAAAATTTTCTATAAAAAGAGAATTTTTTCAAAAATTTTTTATAAAAAGAGAATTTTTTCAATCATTTTCCATAAATAGAAATTTTTTTAAAAAATTTTCTATAAAAAAGAGAATTTTTTTTTTTTTGAAAATTTTTCAAAAAAAAAGATATTTTTTTTTTTAATTTTCTATAAGAGAATTTTTTTCAAAAAGTTTCTATAAAAAGAGACTTTTTTCAAAAATAAAAAGGGAATTTTTATCGAAAATTTTCTATAAAAAGAGAATTTTTATCGAAAATTTTCTATAAAAAGAGAATTTTTATCGAAAATTTTCTATAAAAAGAGAATTTTTATCGAAAATTTTCTATAAAGAGAGAATTTTTATCGAAAATTTTTTATAAAAAGAGAATTTTTATCGAAAATTTTCTATAAAAAGAAAATTTTTATCGAAAATTTTCTATAAAAAGAGAATTTTCTATAAAAAGAGAATTTTCTATAAAAAGAGAATTTTTATCGAAAATTTTCTATAAAAAGAGAATTTTTATCGAAAATTTTCTATAAAAAGAGATTTTTTATCGAAAATTTTCTATAAAAAGAGATTTTTTATCGAAAATTTTCTATAAAAAAAGATTTTTTATCGAAAATTTTCTATAAAAAGAGATTTTTTATCGAAAATTTTCTATAAAAAGAGGTTTTTTATCGAAAATTTTCTATAAAAAGAGATTTTTTATCGAAAATTTTCTATAAAAAGAGATTTTTTATCGAAACTTTTCTATAAAAAGAGATTTTTTATCGAAACTTTTCTATAAAAAGAGATTTTTTATCGAAACTTTTCTATAAAAAGAGATTTTTTATCGAAACTTTTCTATAAAAAGAGATTTTTTATCGAAAATTTTCTATAAAAAGAGATTTTTTATCGAAACTTTTCTATAAAAAGAGATTTTTTATCGAAAATTTTCTATAAAAAGAGATTTTTTATCGAAAATTTTCTATAAAAAGAGAATTTTTATCGAAAAATTTCTATAAAAAGAGAATTTTTATCGAAAATTTTCTATAAAAAGAGAATTTTTATCGAAAATTTTTTATATTTTCTATTTTCGAACATTTTCTATAAAATTGTTCTTTTGAACAACTGTTAACCTCTCTTCAGCTACCAACAATCTCAAAATCAGTTTCTGATTCTATTTGCTGATACATACGAGCAATTGTTTTGGCGTGAGAAATTATAGATCAATTCAACTCTTAACTGCCAAGAATGCTTATTTATTAATATTTTTTTGAAATTGTTTATAAAATTTATTTGTACATTTGTTTATAACATACGGGTAGTTAAATTAAGTAATGCTTTTGTGTTTTTTTTTTATTAAAGTTTAAAAAAAATCTTAAAAAATATGCTCTCATACAACCTTGAGCTTAAAACTTGTTACCAATACTGAATGTATTTGAATTAAGAAAACTGTTGTTGTTTTCGTTTACAACACATTCTAAACAATAATTTTTTAGTATTTTTTTGCATTTTACATATTTTTGTTTTTTTGAAAGAATGTTCATTGTATTAGGAATTTTTTGTTGAAAAATATATAAACGTGCTACTGTTATTGTAAATGATATTTTTTATTTTTGTTTACAAAATGTAAGGTATTTGTTAACTAAAACTATTGTTTTTGATTGCCCTTACAAAAAATTTGTTTGTTTATGAATAGTGTTTGCCAGTTTAATGAAATTTTTCGAATTTCGAATAAAAAATAATTTTTCAAAAATTTTCTGTAAAAAGGGAGATTTTAAATTTGTATCGATAATTTTTTATAAAAAGAGAACTTTTATAAAAAAAATCCTATAAATTTTTATCGAAAATTTTCTATAAAAAGATAATTTTTATCGAAAATTTTCCATAAAAATAAAAATTTTATCGAAAATTTTCTATAAAAAAAAGAAATTTTCTATAAAAAGAAAAATTTTATCGAAAGTTTTCTATAAAAAGAGAATTTTTATAGAAAATTTTCTATAAAAAAGTATTTTTATCGAAAATTTTCTATAAAAAGAGAATTTTTATCGAAAATTTTCTATAAAAAGAGAATTTTTATCGAAAATTTTCTATAAAAAGAGAATTTTTATCGAAAATTTTCTATAAAAAGAGAATTTTTATCGAAAATTTTCTATAAAAAGAGAATTTTTATCGAAAATTTTCTATAAAAAGAGAATTTTTATCGAAAATTTTCTATAAAAAGAGAATTTTTATCGAAAATTTTCTATAAAAAGAGAATTTTTATCGAAAATTTTCTATAAAAAGAGAATTTTTATCGAAAATTTTCTATAAAAAGAGAATTTTTATCGAAAATTTTCTATAAAAAGAGAATTTTTATCGAAAATTTTCTATAAAAAGAGAATTTTTATCGAAAATTTTCTTTAAAAAGAGAATTTTTATCGAAAATTTTCTATAAAAAGAGAATTTTTATCGAAAATTTTCTATAAAAAGAGAATTTTTATCGAAAATTTTCTATAAAAAGAGAATTTTTATCAAAAAATTTTCTATAAAAAGATAATTTTTATCGAAAATTTTCTATAAAAAGATAATTTTTATCGAAAATTTTCTATAAAAAGATAATTTTTTTCGAAAATTTTCTATAAAAAGATAATTTTTATCGAAAATTTTCTATAAAAAGATAATTTTTATCGAAAGTTTTCTATAAAAAGATAATTTTTATCGAAAATTTTCTATAAAAAGATAATTTTTATCAAAAAATTTTCTATAAAAAGATAATTTTTATCGAAAATTTTCTATAAAAAGATAATTTTTATCGAAAATTTTCTATAAAAAGATAATTTTTATCGAAAATTTTCTATGAAAAGATAATTTTTATCGAAAATTTTCTCTGAAAAGATAATTTTTATCGAAAATTTTCTATAAAAAGATAATTTTTAACGAAAATTTTCTATGAAAAGATAATCTTTATCGAAAATTTACTATAAAATGATAATTTTTATCAAAAATTTTCTATAAAAAGGTAATTTTTATCGAAAATTTTCTATAAAAAGATAATTTTCATCGAAAATTTTCTATTCTAAAAAGAGAATTTTTATCGAAAATTTTCTATAAAAAAATGTATCAAAAATTTTCTGAAAAATAGAGAGTTTTTATCGGAAATTTTGTATGAAAAGAATTATTATCGAAAATTTTGTCTAAAAAGAGAAATTTTGTCGAAAATTTTCTTTAAAATTTTTTCTGAAAAGAAATTTTTATCGAAAATTTTCTATAAAAAGAGAAATTTTATCGAAAAATTTCTCTGAAATGAAAATATTATCGAAAATTGTCTCTGAAAAGAAAATTTTATCGAAAATTGTCTCTGAGAAGAAAATTTTCCCTGAAAAGAAAATTTTATCGAAAAATGAGAATTTTCTCAAAAATTTTCTAAAAAAAAAATTTCGAATATTTTCTGTAAGAAGATAATTTTTCAAAAATTCTCTATAAGAAAAAAATTTTTCGAAAATCTCCATATGAAAATAATTTTTCGATAATTCTCTTTAAAAAGAAAATTTTTCGAAAATTCTAGAAACAATTTTTGTAAATCTCTTAAGAAATAATATTAAGCAAAATCTGGCTCGGCTAACGACTCTTTCTGTTGCAACCAATTGCTGAACGAAGGTCTTCTAAAATTCGTTTCCTACCTACCAACACTCTCAATTTGTTTAAATTTTATATAGTTTTTATTTAAAAATAATATACAATTAATTAAATTATGCTATTGTCTGCAAAAAATAATTTTTTTACAATTTAATTTAATCATAGTCACGATTTCTGCATTAAACAAAATATTTATATTTGAAAATAAACTAAATATTAAGTTTATTGTTTATAAATTCTTTAAAATCATATAAAACAGCTGCATTTCCGGTTTTTTAAACTCAAAAATATTTTTCATAATTTTTTTTTTATTAAAAAAACAGAAATGCGTTTAATTCAACAGATTTTATTTTTAAGCCTACTTCCTCATTTAAGCCATAATTTGTTTTACTTTTTTCTTTCACCGACAGTTTGTCAAGTATTTGTTCATTAAGACCATATCTTCTTTTTTTGCCATATAAATCATTTTAAAATGCGTTTTATTTGTGTTTCTTTTCGACTTTCTTTTACTAAGTAATTTCGTATGCGTGTGTTATTCTAGTGTTTTTCTTTATTTTGTAAAAAAAAAGTGAATAGAAAAATTGTGTAAAAAAATTCACTTGCTCTACATTCACACGTTCTATTTTTGTTATTCTTGGTATCTGTTATATGTTGCAGTCTTTTAGTATTGAAATGTATATCCGTTTGCTAATAACGTCTGTTGGTTTTTTTGGTTAGGTTTCTACGAAGTTAGTGTAAGAAGTGAATAAACTAGTATATAGATTAGTCTTGTTAATAGACAAGTTCATAGACTAGTACATAGACTCGTCTATAGTCCAGTTTATAGTCTAGTCAACAGGTCTATATATAGACTACTCAAAAGTCCAGTCCATAAACTAGTGAATATATTAATCAATAGATTAGTCTCTAGTGTAGTCAGTAGACTAGTCAATGGTATACTCTATAAACAAGTCCATAGACTCTATAGTGCAGTTTATAGTCTAGTCAACAGACCAATTTATAGACTACTCAATAGTCTAATCCATAAACTACTGAATATATTA